CGTCGATTCGAACGCATTTCGAACTCGAGATCGATATTCCTGAAGCTGTAGCATCATGGCGTGAGATGTGTATGAAATCGGTGAGCCTCTAGGCAACGGTGGGCGTGGCGTGGGAGTAGCAATCGCAGGAGCTTGAAGCTGATTGCTATCTTCTCTCTTACTAGCAGCTGCATCGTAGCCTTCCAGAAGCCTTGCTATCATCATTTTTGGCGGTAGAACACTGCAGTTATTCGTGTAGTGTCAAAATTTCTGGTGAAACCCAAGATTACCAACTCTAATTTTGGAAATTTTCTTTCTTTAGCGACGCAAAACTGTAGCCATTGTCTTCAATGTGAGCTTTACCAGCCCATAGCGCAGCCGTCGGCACGCCCATCCGAGCCAGCACAGAGCACCCCAGTCGTTGGGTCACGCAGAATAATCTGTCCGCGACCGAACGTCGTGCGCTTGAATCCTTCCACCTCTTGAATATTGTGGCCGAACTTCTCACGAAGCGCAGCAATCACAGCGTCGCCCAGATCTGTTTCTACCAGTACTGAACTACCGCCATCGCTTCTACCAGGTTTCGTAGGGCGGTCCACGTCAATACTGAAACGTGGGGCGTCAAGCGCCTCCTGTGGGTTCATCCCATGCAACAGCATGTTGCTCAGCACCTGGACGTGGCCCTGAGGCTGCATGAAGCCGCCCATGACGGTAAAACTGGAATGCAACTCTCCCGAGTCAGCAAACGTTGAAAGGCCAGGGATGATCGTGTGGTACGGACGTTTGCTCGGCGCCAGAGCATTCGGATGACCCACTTTGGACCCGTGCAGCTCAAAGTTACAGCCCCGATTCTGCAGTGTGAACCCACAACCTTTGGGTACAAGACCCGTTCCGAATCCTTCATAGTTGCTGTTCACCATGGATACAGCGTTGCCCTAACCGTCAATGACCTGGAAACTCACAGTGTCGCAGCTCAGCTCCGGACTTCCGTGCTTCGGATCGATCGCGGCCTTCGTTCGATCTATCAGAGCTGCACGCTTTTTAGCGTAGTTTTCACTTAGTAGTTCCTTTACAGGCAGCGCCGTGTTGTGCTCCATGTCACTAACGAACCACTTGGCGTCTGCGAAGGCAAGACGAAGAGCTTCAATCTGTAAGTGCACAAAGTCGGCACTACCCTGAGGTGGCAGACCTCCTTCTTTTGTAAGTTGCGTTAGGATATTTAAGGCTAACAACGCCGTAATCCCCTGACCATTAGGAGGGATCTCGTGCACGTCGACGCCTTGGAATCTCGTGCTGATGGGCGTCACGAACGTGGATTGGTGCGTTTGAAGGTCCTCCAACGTCATCACGCCCCCTTTCTCCCTCACCATGTCCACGATGGCTTGAGCGATGCGTCCATCCGCATAGAAGGCTTTCTTGCCACTCTTTACCACTTCTTCGAAACATTTCGCCAGATTTTCGTTCTTGAAAATCTCCCCAGCTTTCGGCGCTTGCCCCTCAGCATTCAGCAGCTCAGCAGCGTTTGGACCACGCAGCAATTGACTCTTGCCACGCTCCCAACTCGCCGCAGTCAGCGGACTTACAGGAAACCCTTCACGGGCCAATTCAATGGCAGGACCCAGAATTTCCGCCATGGTCAGAGAACCCAGGCTTCCACCGCATCGACCCAGCCTGCAACTGTCCCGGGGACTGTGACAGCGTGGCCGTGGCCGCTGGGGATCACTGTAACGTCCTCCCCGAGATCTTTGATCGCCTGCTCCGCTGTGAGAGCCGCGGGACTGCGCCCGCTTCCGTTGAGTCCTCGAACTTGCTTGGACTTTGCGTCATAGAAGAGCAGGAAACAGTCGCCTCCTACGCCAGTGGAACAAGGCTCCGTGACGTTCAGAGCCGCAGCGATGGCAATGGCAGCGTCCACGGCGTTGCCGCCTTGCTTTAAGATGCGCAGCCCGGCCTCAGACGCCAGAGGCTGCGAGCACGACACCATGCCATGACGTCCGTAAACGGGGGAGCGAGTTCCAATCGAGACCATCACAATAAAAGAACTTGATGGATGGAGATTGACGAATGATCCTATGCAGTTGACTGTCAACTTGACACGTACAGTACTTCAAGATGAGTGTATCTTTTTGATTGGCGTGCCAGATGTGGCCCACATCATGTGGGACAGCAGTTCATGTGGTCAGGCCATACTGTAAGTGCCGCCAGATTGATGGCACTAGGCTCGCAGTAGATTTCCTGGAAGGTAGAGAAGAATTTGGCTGATGCCTCCGTGCTGCTCACTTTTGATTTCTGCAGCTCGGCATTAAGCGGCTTCCAGTAACTTGTGAAAGTGGGCGACAATGCCTTACTCCCACGTTCTATTGGCTGGTAAGACTTAAAGTGGGATAGTGTCGTGATCTCGA